AATTAATTATTGCGCACTAATCAATCATACATAAGAACTATAACAATTAAGAGCAGGGAGTATATAAATACCAATAAACGGATAAAATAATTAACAACGGCTTAGATCTCACAGTAATCGGTGAACCAATTCGTCAGTTGCCCCCTTGACTAGAATTGGAGAATTAGCCCGCCATTAAGGAAGGGCAAGCGGCGCACGGAGTTTGGGGAGGTTTGCAGATCACTTTTCCTTCGCTTCGGTCAGCCCCAGAGGAAAACGCAAGGAAGCTTTTTTATTGCTGCCAATTTTCCTCTAAAGCATACGTCGGATAGTCTCCCAATTTTTTTGGTCAAAATCGAGTAAAGAGAGAACCCACCAAGTCCACAATGGCGGCTGCACTTTGCTTTCTTTCTTTTTATCACCAAAGAGACATACGAGAGGTTTTGTTTTCAATTGCTTCTTTTGTCTTCCAATTTCGGTCAACCCAATTCAATTGATAGATTAGAAAATAGCAACTGCTCAAGTCAACAGAATATGAAAAGCAATCCTAGAAAATGTCAACAATAGGGGCTTTATTTCTCTCTACAGAGCTTCGGCTCTCCCCTCCTTCCAGAGCCAAGAAAAACAAAACAAAGGAAAGAACAACCCCCCTAACCTAAACCGCGCGAGAGATAAATAATATCCCCAATAGCCGAAAATTGTTACTTGCTCCAAATTGCCACCCGACTCCCTTGAAATAAAATAAAATACTATCTATTACAATCAAGTTTCTTCAGCTTCTAAATCGGACCCACAGCGACAAATCTTCTAAGTTTTGATTTTAAGTACTTTTCAGCGTCCATCCCTGCAATTAGCGTCAAAACAAAATATCAGTAGAATCCACCCAAATAATGAAAATATTTAATCAATTAGTTGTGCAATAATGCCCAAAATACCCACTAAAATGCAACCTATCAATCTCCCCCACACCTGAACTATGCTTGCCCTCAAGCATAATTAACTCAGAAGTACAATCAAGATACGAAGCTAATCACAGCAGTTCATACCAAAAGCGGCATCCCAAATTCCTCGATAACCTCATCGAAATCAGAATATACCAAATCAACAATGCTCACAGTTCAAGGTGCACTCATTCACTCCAAAGTGTATATGAAATGTATATAAGATGGCTCTCAAATCAACACAATAGAATGACACTACCATAAGCTTGCTCATATATCATATCTCCACCACTTACTCATGAATTTAAATGCAGCAATCAAGGGACTTTGCAAGGTTGTAATGGGGTTAGGGTGAGAAGGTAGGATTAAAAGGAGTCAAAAGGGTACAAAAGTATAAAGAAAGTGCCCAGAAGTTTATTACATAGATTCTTGCACATTTGAAATTTAAAGGCATCTCAACCATCACACAAGTGAAGTGAATCAGCACTTGCCACACCCTTCGCCTTTTCTCCTTTTTCATTCATCTACTTCCCCTCTCGTTTTCTTTCCCTTTTTTTTTTGTTTGTTTGTTTTCTTCTTACCCCTTTTTTTCTTTTGCTTTTTTTTTTTTTCAATACTCCCAACCAGCACCCTAAAAGTCAACTTTTCTTGCTGGTTTCCTGCACTTTGTCTTCTTTTCACATCCCTCTTTTTTTTCTTTTCTCTTTCTCTCTCTGTTTTTTTTTTTGAGACGTAAATGGGTGTAATGCCCTTCGAATAATACTCCAAAAGTCTGTACAATAAAATCAAAGCACTTTTTCACACGAGGTTCAAAAAGAAAGTCTAAAAAGAGGTTTCACGGCTAAGAGCTAGGGTCTCAAGGAACGAATAGGGGTTAAGGCTCAACTTGGCTCCCTAATGATAGTAAATAATCCAAGGGTTGGTTTTAAGAAAGTCCAAAAATGGCTTATTCCTAGGTGCCCTATCATTTCAATGCATTAAACTCGTTTAAATGTGGTCTTGACACGCATAACCGAGCAAGTTCTAGAATGACAAACCATGTGCACTAATCACTCAACAAACGAAAAATTAGGCTCAAGAATCGTACAAGTGGTCAAATTGATGTCAAATCCAGCATATTCATCAATCAATTCAATATTAAGGAAAATAGAACACCCCATGGCATGAACTTACTGCTTATACTCACATCTCAATTGTATTCATCACAGTTTAAAGAAAAAAAACTACTAAGGCAAGGAAAATGCACATAAAACAGCTCAAAGCACCACTAATGCTTAATTAACCCTTCCCCACACCTAAACCTTTCATTGTCCTCAATGGAAGCGGATAAAGAGGAAAATAAAGCGATAAAGGCAACAACACTTCCCTTAATACGGCGGGGGGGCAGGTCCCCCTAAGGGGACCGTAGGCTGAGGGGTGGAAGTGGAAGGCTTGGTCTTGCCTTGAGTTTTTGGTTTAGTCATTTGGTCTATTGGATAGGGCAGAGGCAAGGCAAATGTGCATAAAAGAGGTCAACAAGCAGCTGATTCAGAAAAGGGTCCCAATCACAGCTTCCAGTCACAGACAAGCGCACAACCAAACAATAAAATTACCCCAAGAGTCAATTAATCCTGTGAATCAGCAAAATTCTTTCCAGACACTACTAAATCAACCCAAAATTCACTTAATTAGACAATCGCAGCAAAATTCCCCCAAAAACTAATAAAGCACGCAACCATGGTAAAAATTCCCCCCCAACTATCACTGATTGAGCACAAAATTTGACAATTAGTTAGCAATCACCCACGGATAGAGCACAGCACCCAAAATCAAGCACAAAATTTCTGTCCTCAGCTAGCAAATAAACAATCTGGCCTCAGCTACGAAATTAAAATCTGGCATCAGCTACTTAGTGACAGAAATGTAAAAAGAAATCACCGGAGGTTTGGAGTAGGCAGTGAGTTTGGTGAAGTATGGAGCAAGGGCGGTCTGGAGGTGTCCGCTGGTGCGCGAGGGCAGGCACGCGCGGTCCGCGCGCTGGTGCAAGGCGGGCTCTGTACGCGCGGGGAGGAGGCGCGCGGTCTGGGTTTGACTGCGCGCTGGGGAGCTGGATCTGCACACGGTCAAGTCGCGCAGGAAGCTGCTGATGGTTGCTGGTCCGTGCGCACTGCTGCGCAGAGAGGGAGAGGGACGTCGCGCGCTGGCTGCCTGCTGCTTTGCGCGCGAGGGCTGGACTGGTGCTGAGGCTGCAGAGGAAGCTGCGCGCAGAGCAGCTGCTCGTGGCGAGACGCGGGCGCGCGAGCGAGGCTGCTGCTCGCTGCTGCTGAGTTGCGCAGAGGGCGCGGCTGGGCGCGAGTGCTACGCGCGGCGGCGTGGAGATCGTGCAGCTCCCTGAGCTGGCGGCTGCTGCTGCTGGCAGCTGGTGCTCTGGCCGCTTGCTGCGCGCGGCGACTGCTGGAGCACGGCGGGCTCTGTACGCGCGCGAAGGAGCTGCTGGTGGCGAGACGCGGCTGGGCAGCGGGCGCGATGGGCGGCGTGTGGCGCGCGGCGTGCAACGTGGCGGCGGCGGACAAGGAGAAAGAAAAAAGAAGAAGAAGAAGAAAAAGAAAGAAAAGGAAGAAGAAAGAAAAAAGAAAAGAAAGGAGAAGGAGAAAAAGATTAGGGCTCCGGGTCTTTGAAAATTTTCCTTTCTTCTTTTTTTTAAGGGCAATTTGGTCTTCTTTCTTCTTTTTTTTTTTTTTTTTTTAACGTGACCACCTGGCGTAGGCACGCTCAACTGCCATAGAGTCCGCAGAACCTGAACGAAAAGTTCTTCCCCTCAGGCGTGACCACCTGGCGTGGGCACGCTTAACTGCTATGAAGCCCGCAGAACCTGAACGAAAATTTCCTCCATCAGGCGTGACCATCTGGCGTGGGCACATCTAACTACTATGGAGTTCGCAGAACCTGAGCGAAAATTCCTTTTCTTCAGGCGTGACCACCTGGCGTGGGCATGCCTAACCGCTAATTCCCTGCCACCAAACATCAAACCATTAATTGACACTAACACTTAACTAAAACTTCAAAAATGCATGAAAATTAAAACAAATAGTCTTGGGTTGCCTCCCAAGTAGCGCCTTTCTTTACTGTCTTTGGCTAGACATAGCACCACTCTTTAGTCTGGATGTAATTGAATTTTTCTTGTAATTGGTGGCCTTCCTCCGGGATCCACGTGGCCATTGAGTGCAACCTTTTCCCTAAATTTTCTCTCCATTTTCACCTCGTGAATTGCTTTCATCCTATAGGACTTGTTCGCAGCAACCTTGAATTTACCCCTACAAGCAAACTTAGAAAATTCTTGCACAGAGGGATTAGTGGCATAGATAGCAAACACAGACTGAGAGTTAACAGGATGTTTCATTGTATCAAAGATATTAAAGTGGACTATTTCTCCATCAAATTCCATCGTGAGAGTACCCTTACTAACATCAATTTTAGTCTGGGCAGTACTAAAAAATGGTCTTCCTAATATAATGGGTGATGGATTTGGGGCACTTCTATCATCCATGTAAAGCACATAAAATCAGCAGGAAAAATTAATCCATCTACTTGCACTAAAACATCCTCAATTATCCCATCCGGATAAGCACATGTACGATCAGCCAATTGAATTATTATCCCCGTTTCTTTTAATGGTCCTAAATTTAGAGAATCATAGATTGACTTAGGCATCACATTAATAGAACCTCCTAAATCTATCATGGCATTTTTGATACTAGAATGTCCAACTTTACAGGGAATAGTAAACATACCTGGATCCCAGCATTTGGGTGGAAGTTTCCTCTGAAGTACAGCTGATACGTTCTCTCCTACCATCACTCTCTCATCACCCCTTAGCTTCCTCTTGTGGGTGCACAAGTCCTTCAAAAATTTAGCATATTTCGGTATCTGCTTAATTGCATCCAGTAAGGGGATGTTAATCTCCACTTTTTGGAACACATCCAAAAGCTCTTTTTCCTTCTCTACTTTCCTTGTCTTTTCCAACCTGCAAGGAAAAGGAGGTAAGTTAGATTTAATAGTGAGTGGAGAAGTGAAGGGTACCTTAGGATCCTGGCGAATACGTCATTCTTCTTCGATTTCCTTTTCTATCTCCTCCTCACTTTTGCTTTTTGAACTTTCCACTTTAGGCCCTTCCAGTTCCTTGCCACTCCTCAGTGTCATGGCACTTACATTCCTGGGATTTATCTCGGGTTGAGATGGCAATTTTCCATGAGCGTGGGACTCCAGGCGATTGATGGCAGTTGCCAATTGGCTTATTCGAGCATCCATATCTTTCATGCCTGATCTGGTCTCCTGCTGGAACTGTCTAGTCTCTTGCTGGATCTGGGAGGTAGTAGTAGCCAGACTTTTGACGATATCCTCCAAAGAACTCCCTGTGTTGGAGGATGAAAGTTGGGGTTTCGATTGCCATGGTTGCTGAAACCCTGGTGGACGATTTGAGAGTGCATTTTGCGGTCGATTCCCATAACTGAGATTGGGATGGTCTCTCCAACCGGAGTTGTATGTGTTGGAATACGGGTCATACTGCCTGCGGGGCGCGGGCACGCCTCCGGCCATATTTACCTGTTCCGCCCCGTCCTCTTGCAGAATGGGGCACGAATCCGTGCAGTGGTCCATGCTAGTACAGATTCCACACACCTTTGCTCGCGGTGTGTCTCTCATGGCCAATTGCCTGACAGCAGATGTCAACTCTGACAGTTGCTGCTGGATGGATGACGTCTCTGCCTCATTGACTCTACGGGTAGGATTGCTCTCACGGAAGCCGAACTGCTGAGAGTTTTCTGCCATGGCTTCAATAAGGTCCCACGCTTCCCTCGGCGTCTTGTTCGCCAGGGCTCCTCCACTTGCAGCGTCAATAATACTCCTGTCAGTTGACTGGAGTCCCTCATAGAAGTACTGGATCAACAGTTGTTCACTAATCTGATGCTGTGGGCATCTAGCGCACAACTTGTTGAACCTTTCCCAAAAATCGTACAATGACTCCCCGGAGTACTGCTTGATGCTGCAAATCTCCTTCCTCAAACTTGCAGCCCGGGATGCGGGAAAAAATTTCTCCAGGAATTTCTTCTTCAATTGTGCCCACGTGGTGATACTACCTGCAGGTAGGTAGTATAGCCAATTCTTCGCTGCATCCTTGAGAGAGAAGGGGAAGGCTCTCAGTCTTATTTGCTCCTCAGTGACCCCAGGAGGTTCATGCTAGAGCAAACTATTTCGAATTCCTTGACATGTTTGTGGGGTTCTTCACCAGAAAGACCATGGAACGAAGGCAGGAGCTGAATCAACCCCGATTTCAGCTCGAAAGAAGTATTTTCAGCCAGAGTTGGGAACGTGATGCACAAGGGCTGATGAGTCAGGTCTGGGGTAGCCAGCTCCCTTAATGTCTGGGTGTTGGCCATGCTAAATTCGTTTTATACTGGCTCGTTTGCAGAAAATAAATGCCCTTCTTTTTGTCTCTTGGTCTCTTGCCTTCGCCTACGCGCTGCCTTCTCGACCTCAGGATCGTATACCAAGTCACCTGTGCGAGAAGAACGGGGCATAAACTAGCAAAAATACCAAGAAAAAGAAAAAATAAAAAAAAAAAAATAAAACTGAATTCAAAAAGAAGCAAATAATTCAAACGCCAGTCCCCGGCAACGGCGCCAAAAAATTGACAGGTGCCGAACCTGTGCAATAATAATAAATAAAACCTAACTACCACCTGAAACAGTCAGTAATCAATTCGAGTACTGGAGCAGGGACTCTAGGTGTGCAATGGGTTACTTGATTCACCCTGTTCCCGAAGAGTTTGCTTAATCCGATATACCTGAATTAATTATTTAACTGAATTTCCTAACTAGTAGACAGTGGTAAGCAGGGTCGTCTCCTCAGGGACTGGAGAGATATTTGTTTCTTTTCAAATCAAGATTAATGGGGGGGGGGATTTGGTATCAAATGCCAACTGAACAAATTAAATGCAGAAAATAGTTTATTAAAAGAAATAACTAAGAGAAACTCTAGCCAAGGGTGTACTTCAGAAATGGTTCATGTAACTGATCATTGATTCAGAGGTAATTCCAACATTTACTAATAGATTGGTTATAGTTGTCTCGCACGCGCTAAACAACCAACCCTTCCTTAATTTATCGATAGCTAAGGTACGACCGTTAGCTATTTCTCTAACCCAAAAACAACCCTAGGTACGACCGTAGGATTTAATTTCGAGATTGCATTAATAATTAGAAATGCCCAATCCTAACCAATAAACACGCTACGAGAGTTTATTTAAGCTAGATCATATATTCCCCTGACATAAACCCAATTATACCAGCTGCTATTGGGATAGAGGTAACGAACAATTACGGATTCAATTACCCCTATTTAGCAAAATAGTCTCTATGAATAATTAATTATTACGCACTAATCAATCATACATAAGAACTATAACAATTAAGAGCAGGGAGTATATAAATACCAATAAACGGAGAAAATAATTAACAACGGCTTAGATCTCACAGTAATCGGTGAACCAATTCGTCAGTTGCCCCCTTGACTAGAATTGGAGAATTAGCCCGCCATTAAGGAAGGGCAAGCGGCGCGCGGAGTTTGGGGAGGTTTGCAGATCACTTTTCCTTCGCTTCGGTCAGCCCCAGAGGAAAACGCAAGGAAGCTTTTTTATTGCTGCCAATTTTCCTCTAAAGCATACGTCGGATAGTCTCCCAATTTTTTTGGTCAAAATCGAGTAAAGAGAGAACCCACCAAGTCCACAATGGCGGCTGCACTTTGCTTTCTTTCTTTTTATCACCAAAGAGACATACGAGAGGTTTTGTTTTCAATTGCTTCTTTTGTCTTCCAATTTCGGTCAACCCAATTCAATTGATAGATTAGAAAATAGCAACTGCTCAAGTCAACAGAATATGAAAAGCAATCCTAGAAAATGTCAACAATAGGGGCTTTATTTCTCTCTACAGAGCTTCGGCTCTCCCCTCCTTCCAGAGCCAAGAAAAACAAAACAAAGGAAAGAACAACCCCCCTAACCTAAATCGCGCGAGAGATAAATAATATCCCCAATAGCCGAAAATTGTTACTTGCTCCAAATTGCCACCCGACTCCCTTGAAATAAAATAAAATACTATCTATTACAATCAAGTTTCTTCAGCTTCTAAATCGGACCCCACAGCGACAAATCTTCTAAGTTTTGATTTTAAGTACTTTTCAGCGTCCATCCCTGCAATTAGCGTCAAAACAAAATATCAGTAGAATCCACCCAAATAATGAAAATATTTAATCAATTAGTTGTGCAATAATGCCCAAAATACCCACTAAAATGCAACCTATCAATGAGGAAGGGTTCAGGAAGAAGCAAAGGAAGAAACAGTCAACAACGGCGAAAAACGTTTCTCCAATAAGTGGCCCCAACTCCAAAGTGACCCGATTTGGCATTTAATTGGACTTTTTTATGTGCGAGGGACCTTTGATATTGCCATGAGGTAAGTATATTTCTACAATTCTTTTTTTAATTTTATTTTCAGCGAGAGACTTTGACCAAAAAAAAAATTGGATCTGCAGTCCATTGCTTGTGACTAATTCGTGTATATTGTCAACAATACAACTCTTGCGGGCTATAGGTCTAATTTTCTTGGGACATTAATGTTTGTAAGCCACGCAATGATAACTAGAACTAAGTATTTGCAAGTAATAGTAATTTTGAATATATGTAAATAATCGCGAATCTAGAATGGTGTGAACAATATTGAATATTTGCAATAAAAAATTCACGAATGAAACCTTTTAAGAAAGATTATATGTTGCGGCCCCACATGACACACCCTAAGTAAGTCACGAGAGTTCAAATCCAAGGTAAGATTCGAACCAAAAACTAAACGATTCCTAAGAATTCACTCACCTAGGAATGATGGAAATTTTCAAAATGCTCTGAAGATTCAACAGAGCAATTGTGCAACTCTGTAGCCAAGAAATGCAGTAGACTAGCGTGGAACTAAAATACATTTTAAATCAATGACACAATTAATTAATTTTATCTTGTCAAGCTCTTCATAATTATGCAGTTGATTTTTTTTTCTGTTAAAAATTAGAAGCCACAATTAGTTACAAGTGGCAATTGCTAACTAATCTAAGTTATGTGAGAACCCGTATTTTCCCTAATAATTTTCCTAGGGTTTTCCCCTTTAATTGCATGTTTTCTGCATTTTCTGGCTTAGGAAAAATTTTCTTGGTGGATTTTATGCGTTTTAAGATGATTTTTCTAGCATTGGGTAGTTTTTGAAAAATTACGGATATATAATGGACGTGGGCCCCACTAGTGCGAAAAGTTCAGAAAAATTCGGCCAATAAGGTTAAGTTCCGGATACTGAGTGAAATTTATCGGGTGTTAAGAGATAAGAAGAGGAGGTGATTTGATTGATGTGAGAAGGAACCAAGTGATAAAGATGCATTTATGAAGTGCCAAGTGTCACTATATCCTTGGTTGGACTTTGTTGGACACTATTCACCCTTTTTGACTTTTTACCATTGAGTTAAATATCTCAAAAAAATCACTAAAATTCACTCTTTTCTTCTCCTCCATGGCCGGTTCTCTCTTGAGCAAAGAAGAAAGAAACTCTTCAACATTTTAGCTTCCATTTAGCTCAATCTTCCAAAAACAATCACATAAACTAGTTTCTACTCCATAAAATCCCTCCATTAGGTGCTAGTAAGTTGTTTGGTGAAGTTTTTAAGGAAGCTAAGGTGTTCTACAACTCCTTTTCTCTTGTTTACTAGGTAAGTGGTGATTGAACTTCCTCCTACACCTAATGATGCTTAATTTGTGCCTAGTGGTGGCTAAAGTGCTGAAATTTGTGATTTATTTCTTGCTTTTGGATGAAATGATGAAGTTTTCAATTTATTGAGGAATTTTCTGGTTTAATATGAATGTGATGTTGTGGATATCTTTGATGATGGGAATTGATGGTTAATGACTCTAGTAGGTGTAAATGATTGGTAATTGCAACCAATTTTGGGTTTGGAAGGAAATGTGAAAAGTTAGGGTTTCATAACCCCCTTTCTGTCCGGTTTTGGGATCATATGGTTAGAGGCCGAATTGGCCTTTGCTTAAAACATGAAAGTTGTAGGTATTGATGTGTTTGAGGTGTCTGTAAAATTTCAGGTCATTTGGAGTAGTGTAGAGTGAGAAATGTCGATTTTACTGTTGCTGTTTTGGGTTAATCAGAATGTGCGAACTGCGTCTGAAATTGGCTGGTTTGACTGGAATTGCTTTGGATTTTATTGTTGGTGTCTTCTGATGAAATGTATCTTGATGGCTTAGCTACCGCATGCCTTTGGAATCAATGCATTTGGACTTGTGTAGACTGAGTTGGACTAATTACAGCATAGTGTGATTTGTAAACCTGCAATTTCGGTTCTGGTTTGGTATTCTGCATATTTGACCTAGTTGTGCTAGGATTTGGATTGAGTGGCCTTCTACATTGTTGTAGCCCTGTCTTTTAGCTTCGAGATGGTGGGTCTTACACCCTCATCCGATAAGCGTAGCGCATTTTGTGCTATTACCGCATAAGGAGGCCAAAACTGTTTTTGTTGTTAGGGCTAATATAGTTACATTTCCTGATTTTCTGGTTTGCTATAATGCTTATATATGCATATGAAACCCTATTGGGGTTGTGATTGGCATGGTTTTATGACTCGTTATCGAGTCTCATTGCATTTGTTTACGTGTTTTAGGACGTGACGAGGGTTCACGACGTCCTTTTAACGACGGTGCATGAAACATCACCTACGTGATTGGTGAGTATACTACTCATTTGGATGCTTATAATGTGGCTTTGCTATATGTGATTGTGATACCTTGAAGGCTTGTTTGGCTATTGGAAATGATTAGGGTGAGGGTGTACTTGACCGCCCTCATTCCTTTTATTCCTGTGAATGACTGTTTACCGTTTCACTGTATTACTGTACTTGCTATATGAGTTATTGGATTCCATTCATGGGAAACTGTTTGGGTGTCGGTTGGACGAGTATCCAACGGCCCTACTGTATTACTGAGCTCGACCCCGTTGGTAGTCACTTGAATCGAGCCAGCGAGGGCTTGGTCGTGACAATTGACTAGCCACGGGGACTGAAATGGGAATCTTGTGGTAATGAGACCCTTGGTTCCGGTGTACTCGAGTATCACCTAAAGCTACTGCTTGGAGTGCGGGCCCGGTTGGAGTATGTTGGGTGGAAGGTATGGAAGTGAAGTGAGGTCTACGGTTAGTATTCTTAAACATTGACGGAGGGTCAATGAGTTTGGATCAAGAATGTAAGCGTGGAAATGGGCTCTTGAGAGCCGTCCGTATCCTTTTACCGATTTGTTTTGCTTCTTATTTGCATACTTGAAATGAATGGTTATGCTTAAGTGATCTTT